TCAGACACAACCAGACACTAAATTTTGAACTGTATTCCTAAAGTTATGAACATCATCTTCCTTATTTAAAAAAACGCTAGAGGCGTCTGTCCGTCCTCGTGTCCGTCTGTGGACTTTTGAAAAAATTGAAAAATACATATATATTTACGTGACCCTTTTATTTAGAAAAAGTGAGAAACGAAGCTACGAAAATTTGAAAAACTAGATTGAATCGCGTCGAAGGCGCACCAGCTTGCTGGTAGGGAATAAACAACTATCTTAAACACGTTTTCTCTAATTTTACTGAACTGTAATAGCCATTGTTCGGACTACTGTACTATGTCAAAGCTCACATTTAAGAATAAAGTCCCACTAAAAACTTTAAAAAACTCTTTTCTCAAAGTAGACGAGACTCTTGTCCTAGACAGCAACAGTCCACTTGTTTCTTCTTTTTGCTTGCAAATTCGTGAACTCGCACCCTCTCTTTTTTATGCCGAAACTTTTCATTTATGTCGCTTAAGTACACTCATCGGATTTCACAGAAGATTTCGGGTAAACTGTTCACGCCAGTTGCAAAAAAAAGAGTCTCGAGTGAAATGAGGTGGAAAATGATGTTATTGACCTGGTTAATCTCCGTTTGAAGTAGAATACGTACAAGGGGAAATAGAGTATGGGATTTATATATGAAAAAATTATTAACCCTAGAGAGCAGCTTAAAACAAACATGTAAAGTAGCACTTAAAATAATTTATGAGGCTTATCGTATTGTTAAGTTTTCGAAAATAGCCTTAATTTCATAATAACCATGTCAAAAACTAGTTTTTCACTGTTGAAAATTTGTCTCGTCAGAATGGAAACTTTACACAATCAGTTCCTTTTTCAGAAGACCGTGATTTTCCTGAATTTTTAATTCTTCATATGTCAAGCAAACTCTCTTTCGAATAAGTTATTCACAGACTCTAGAAGATATAAGGCACCGTACAACACACAATAAATAAAGTAATTCTTAAAATACTATCCCGTTGATGTTTTTTAGAATTTATAAACCATAAAACCTATAATAGAAGACCGCCCACTTTCCAGTCTGAGCTCAATTATCTAAATTCCCATGCAATATTTAAAAAGTATGTCAACAGACAAAACACTCCTGATCTTATGACAAACAATTTATCAGTTGACATCTTTCCGATATCTTTGACAGGAACCGAACGAAAAGGACTGAAAGTTAAAAGTTAGGAACTCCTTCAAATTATAGGTTTTACGGTTATTTCACTTTCCAACCCCCTAATATTCAATTGAGACAAATCTTCATCAATCAGAAATCAGATATCCACTCAATCTCTTTTTTTTCGAGTGTCCTTACACCCGCAACTTGTCATATCTTCCTGTCTTTATTCTCCAAATCCTTTGAGCACATCCGGTTCGTCACATAATTTGTCGGCGGAGCCACCCTCTCAAGATGACCTCTCTGGAAAATGAGTTGCCGCCGCCACCGCGTCGCGCCGCACAGCTCTTTAGACGACTCTCAAGTTTTTGATCATGTTTTCCGCACGTGTTTACATTTATCTATCCGAAGTCATTTGGACATTTTTCACCAATCCGACACACAATCTTTCCTTTTTTTCTCCAGAGATTTCATGGCTAGGACAGCTGCACCAACAACTACACCTCCTACAGAGAATAATGGATCTAGGAGTAAAAGAAGACGATACTTTGCAAATGGAAGAAGTAGGACAATCGAACTGTCAACACTTGCAGAGATTGTGAGGAGGAATTTGCTAAAACAGGTGAGCTGGATATTCATTTTCCCTATATTTCCCAATTTCAGAAGGAGCATCCTCTCAAGCAGAAGGTGTTCTGAAAGTGTTGACAACTCAGGATGATATGTGTATTGGGACTACAGGAGGCAGCTACAAGTCCTTGAAGCGTGGATCTGTGAAAGCACAAGCTCTGAAATTGAGTGAGAGACTTGCTCAAAAAAGTTCGTTTTATTTATTTTGAGCGGTTTCATTTTTGACATATGATGTTACAGTAGCCGCGGACAATTTAGCCAAAGAAAGTGAAGAAAAGAGTGAAATGGAGAAGCAAAGTTGTTCGAAACCCGTCGTAGTCGATGTCAAGTTGAGAAGGAATCTCACCGAAATCAGAAGGGATATAAGGAATTTTGAGGTGAGAATTTGGGAGCGTGATGCCTTTTTAAATGCCGTTAAACCTCTAATTTAATTGCTCCTTAGCTTTTAAACTAATCTCGGTTCCTTTTAATAATATAAGACGGTAGAAATTTGAAGAATTTTTTCTCATTTCTGAAAACCGAAATTTCTCAAATTTTATGTACAAAAAGAACAGAGTTAACAGAAAGAACAAACGTTTTTCGAAAAGTTTGTCTATTCCACAGATTTCGTCCAGTTTCGCAAAGTGTTTATTTGATGGATCTGAAAATGACCTTGAACAAAAAAAGGTGGACAAATTAAAATTGGACAGTGTGGACAGTTGGGACAGTGGTAGTAGTTTGCTCAAATCCGGGTGACAACCAATCTTCCTGCATTTTGAACTTCTTGTTGCTCTGTGCCTTCTTTCCTTCTACAGGTACAGAATCGGTTTGTCTCCCGATTTTGTACTTTTTTAAAGGGAAAAGTGGTCACGCCAAATTCAATTATTATTTGAATTGTGCCACGAGGTACAAAATCGGTAGGCATACCGATGCTGTACCTAGTGAAACAATTCAAATACGCTTATTTGGGTGAGAGTGATATCTGAAGATACTCATAGTTTGAGACTGGAGTACGTATACATATTCTCTGACCTCCGAATAGCCGTAGCTGTACTTGCACACCGTAATGGAATGGAACCAACTGCACGACAGGTGAACGCTATTTGATTTTTTCAAAAACCTTTCAAAAAATACCTCTTGAATTTCAGATGTTGATGAGTGTGCCGAAAATACAACTCTCTGTAAAACGAAAGATCCCGATGCCACTTGTGTGAACACAGATGGAAGTTATTATTGTGTTTGTGGGCCGAATATGTTTGGAAAATCTTGTCTATTCAGTGAGAAAACTGGAACCAAGTGTAAAGAACTAAGGGTTTGATTTCAGATAAGATCATCTACCAGATTTTGAACGCAAGTTACGGAAACTTGGGACCAGATGAACTGGATGAGGTGAGGCGAGATCAGATAATGATTTACTTCAGTGTTTTTATTCACAGATGGCACAAGAATTAACAAATGATCCAACGCTGGGTCGTGATATCGTTCCATTTCTGATTGGAGGATATAGTCAGGAAGTGAGAGAAAGTCTGTCGTGGACTGCCGAAGATATGTTCTTATGGGTTGCATATGAACAGCAGTTGATAGATTTGAAGTTGATATGATAAGATTACACCCAAAATAACTTTGGATATTTCAGTTCAAACTTTATAATGTGGAATGACAAAGTGCTGGGGAATTGCTTCACATTCAATCACATGAACTCTTTATTTCAATATAAAGCGAGGGCATCTGGATATGCAGGAGGATTGGAAATG